CCCACGTGAAGTAGAATCCAATGAAATGGAGACCAGTACGGTTTATTGTTTATTTGTTAATTTGTCATTAAGCACAAAGCTACACAATGTACTATCTGTGCTCTGCCCACCACGGGTGTCGAAACCCGTCTCTGCTCATTTGTTAATTTCCCGTAAAAATTCTTTCGGAAGAACTTCAGCGATACAAGTCCTTTTTTAAATAAAACTAGTTTATTCTTTCTCAATACAGCTTTGCAATACACTTAATTTCCACAGTCACTTTAACTTCAACACACGCTATAATTCACAACGATTCACGCACTTTACTTATGGTCACTATTGCTCGCTTGACTCAATTATCTCTCTCTATATCTATCTATCTATCTGCAATTATTTGCCGGGCTTATATACGAAAAAAGAGGGCGCCTAGAAAAGACTAGAGATGGCAAGAAAAGTCAAGATCCTTCGATAATCTCATGACATGTTACCAGCGTCACGTGACTTCCACTGCCGTAACACTATTTACTTTGAATGATAACTACAAATCTTAGTTGATAATATAAAAAAAATTGTCTTAGAAACAAAGGACAGTTTGATTTTGATAAAACTCAATTCAGACAAATTGTTTGGTCAGATGAGTTCTATTTATCAAAACATATTCACCTTCACATATTCAAAAGTGTTTATCATATCCACATAGGGGTAATTTGTGTTACGACAGCGGAAGTCACGTGACGCTGGTGGTGCGTTTGGCACTGATAGCGTGCGTGAAATTTATCGAATGGTCATGAAGGCTCGAGTGCATTCGAGATGCCCTCTTTTTAAATATATAAGCCTGGCGAGAAAAACCAGCGGGATTGAAGAAAAAAATAATTGAGTCAAGCAAATGGTAGTGACTGTGGAAATTTTGTGTATTACAAAGTTGTATCGAAAAAGAATAAACTAGTTTTAATTAAGAAAGAACTTGTATCCTGAAGTTTCTCGGAAAGAATTTATACCGGAAATTAACAAACAGGCAGATACTTAACAAAACCATTGAAGAAATTACATTAATCAAGACATAAATGTGCATACTTCAATATAAAGATATTTTATTGTGATTCTTTATCACACCATGTTAAATGCACAAGATTTAGATGGAGAAACTCCACTGCATCTAGCTGTATAAAAAATGTGCTCAATATTGGGGTAGGCACTAACATCGTAAACTCAAAGGGGTGCACTCCGCTCTTCGCATTTTTACACAACATAAAAGTGGAGCAGATGGCAAGTTAAACTCCAGGACAAGTTGTTTATAGGTCCTCTTATCAACACTAATGGTCAGATACCCAGAGACTCAGAAAAAGTGAGAGGTTTTGGTTAACTCTCAGAAGAGCCCACTGTCCTTAGAATTTCATAGCAGTGGCATTGAGACATGTCATGGAAGATGAACGAATATCACATGCTAATGAAGTGCAATTACCTGCAGATTTGATTGAGTATCGCATCATTTTCTTCGAGTCCAATTGTAAATAAGCTAATTAAAGTATTTCCTGGAAAAGTTCAGAAGCAGTTGAAAATGTAGACAAGCATAAAAGCAGTGTTTCCTCCTTTCATTTGTTCTAAATATTAGCTGTTCAGATTATATATATATATATATAGAATGTCATTTGTTCTGTTTTATAGAGTAGAATTCCAAGTTTTACAAAATACAATGATGTATTGTTATTATACCAATATCAAAATTCACAGCTTATTACTGACTGAAAGT